GATATAGCCATGCGTTCAATAATTTGAACAATAATAACTTTTTGTAAAAAAAAACAACATATGCCAATTGTTTTAGTTCTCAAAATATTTATTCCAGTACAGTCCCCTAAGTTTTTATACACATTCTCAATCATTTTTAATATCATAAAGTCTCTCCTGTCCTGAACCTGGTGCAACTGTAGTGTAATCCAACTAAAGTAATGTGGATCAGAAAATGTTTGTACATGAAGCTATAACCTCTCTCTACTGACCAGATTCTCTTCCTAACAAATTAGAATTCTAAATTAGTCTTCCTGAAAATCATAGTTTTCTCTCCTTTGTGATAGGCAGGAAGGAAGCAAGGAAGGAAGGAAGAGAGGGTGGGATGGAGATAGGAGCATGGGAATAAGTCTAATACACTTAACTCTTTTTTTTTACAATAATAATCCTTAAAATATCAACCTTATCTTGAATTCCAGTTTGTGCAGAAAAGTTGAAAACTACAAGAGGAATTATCTAAACATTACTGATTAGAATTGAGACCTATAGCCAGTGCTGCATATTGTGTTAGCAGAATGCTGTGTGACATACAAGCAATAGCAGTTATGTATATGTAGCACAAGCAGATGTGGAATTACAGGTAGTAGTAAGATATTTAACATCTACAAAGGAAAAGATGTTGTTTAAACTAGCAATTCATAATATTCATGAATGGTTTTTCTGTGCTCCTGAGCTGTGGTGGCACAGTAATTAGAATGCAGTATTGCAGGCAAACTGCCCATGGTCAGGAGTTCGATCCTGACCAGCTCAGGATTCACTCAGCCGGTAAAATGAGGACCCAGACTGCTGGGTACAATAAGTTGACATTATAAATAGCTCAGAGAGTGCTGTAAAGCACTATGAAGTGGTATATACATCTAGGTGCAAAGTGCTATTGCTATTTTTTTTCATATTAGAAGACCACAAGTGTAACTGTCCCCAAGAACATTCCTGTCTTTCAGGAAAAATTAGGGTTTGCTACAATGTTCTAGACTTCTAGGATCAGTATGTGTATCAGACACTTATTGGGGCGTTAGAATGTGGAAAAAGAATGAAATAATCAATATTAGATGAAAATGAAATGGAGACAAAAAGTATGGGCTATAAAAATTTCAAGAGTCAACATTTTCTGCAGAAAATATTTTACTTTTGGCAATTTGGCAGGTTGAAATTTGTATAGTATGTTATTGTTTATTGCACAATACTATTTCCAACATTCCAATAGAGATCATTTTTCTTAATGCATAAAATAAAGCTCTTAGTTTCTCTTAATATACAATGGGAGTCTCATAAAATAGGTTAGTTTTTTTTCAACATGATGTTGTTCAAATTCTTGAACAAGCTCTAAATATTGAAATGAATACTCACACTTATCTACAGGAGGAAACTTTCCAGAACATTATTCTATTTAAAGCTGTCTGGAAAACCCTTATCTGTAAAAAGTTGATAGTTAAAAAGTTTTCTGATCCTTGTGATATATGAACATTGACGTCTTCCACATGGTGGAAAGGAATTGAAGAATCTTGGTATTGAGATTTCAATATTGCTGTTGTATCCTTATGCTGTACGCTTAAAAGTTCCTAGAGGAATTTCCAAGAAAAATCTTTTTGACTTTTAGAGCCACATTATTCGCCCAAGTGAAATTCAGGTTGAGAAAATGGACATAATAAGGTTTTCTACTGGCATTCACCTCTGCATTTTGAATAGGATGTTATGACTGCCAAAGCTATAGACCAGTGATGGCGAACCTTTTAGAGATCGAGTGCCCCAAAACCACTCCTGCTCCGTCCCCACCCCATCCCCCCACTCTCCCACCCCACCCCACCTGCCAGCAGGTCCACCCACTGCCTCCACGGCCTGCTGCAGATTGCCCAGGCGGCCCAGCAGCGCCAGTGGCGGCCATGCCCTCCACCCGCGCCCCGCAGCATCTGCATGCGACAGGGCACGAGGGTGGAGTCTTGTCCCCACTGCCCAGCTGCCATGTCCTTGGTTGCGCTGCTCCGCATGGGCCACGCTCAGGGGCGACTCTCCTCCGGGGGGACTGCTGATGAGGAGGGGGCCGTGGGGGGAGGCAGGGCTGGGGTGATGGCACGCGTGCCCACAGAGAGGGATCTGAGTGTTGCCTCTGGCATGCGTGCCATAGGTTTGCCACCACTGCTATAGACCAAGGCTTGGAAGAGAACTGGGTTCTGCCTATTTTCTCAGCAGCTTTATCATTAATTTATTGGGATCCAAGGAACTCCAGGAATAATTTAGACAGAGGGAATATCTTTTTCAGGAAACAGGTACTACTAAACAGAGTAGTAAAAACATTTATCTAGGAATGTTGCATTGTTTAATCTTTGTTTGCTAAAGACTTATTTCTCTGTAGGTTAGGAATTATCTTATTTCTCTGTTGGTTAGGAATTATGTTTTAGATTTTATCCAATGATTTTATAGTCAGCATCCTTAAACCATTTTTTTTTTTAGAATCTCCTTTTGCCCTATAAGACTACAAGTTGTCCTCAACGAATGACAATAATTGGGACCAGAACTTCATCTCTAATTGATGCGATCATTAAGTGAGTTGTATCCAATTTTATTTTTTTTAATTATTTTATCAGAGAATAAAATACAGAACAGTAAAACAAAATGTAACAAAAAACCCATACATTCAACCCTAAATTGTGTCCAGTTTTATGACCTTTTCTAGTGATTGTTAAGCAGACCACACAATCATTAAGCAAATCCATTTTCCCCCCATTGACTTTGCTTTTCAGAAGCCCCGAGGAAGGTCGCAAATCGCACTTATGAGACCCCAGGACGCTGCAATCACCATAAATACATGCTGATTGCCAAGTGCCTAAATTTTGATCATATACCTGTAAGGTTGCTGCAAGTCATAAGTCACTTTTTTCAGTGTTGTTGTAATTTCAAACAGTCATTAATAGGCGGTTGTAAGTCAAAGGACTACCTATATAGCCATTGACTATCACCTTCTAATCTAGCAGGTGCATTACATAACAATTTTAGAAATTTTCTTTTTCTTTGGATGTCATCTAGATGCACTTCCTTGAAGATGAGTGCTTCAGTTAGTCTTCCAAAGAAGCAAATGGACTAGGGTTAGTGATATTATTCCAGATAGCTATTGTCAATGGCACTTGGACACTAGTAACCTGGACTTCCAGGGAAGGCATGGCTTAATATGGCTCTGCAAAAGTGGAAGCTAGTAACAGTGACAAAGATCAAGGAATAGGTGAGAAGACTGATACCTTGTAATCTTTCAAGATAAGGAGAGGACAGATCACCCATTTAAGAATCTGAAGAATCTGAAATAAACAGCAAAAAGCTAAATAACATTTTAATTGTAAAAGGTTATACATGGGCTAAAGATCTAAATAAAATTGGAATAGTGAAAGTTTTGCAATAAGATTTTGGAATTAATTATAAAGAACAAACACCTTCTCATGCAAATTAGATTATGTTGTTGTTTTTACAAGACACACATAAGATAAGCAATTTCATAATTTCAAAATCTGAACACTGGAGGTGGCCTATGTTTTTACTTAAAGCCTGTAAAAAGTTGCAAAACATTATAAACAATGAAAATAATGGGGTCAGAAATTAGTAGCCATAATATCAACAGTGTCAGTAATGATGTCTGCTTCTATGGATAGACTATATCCAAAAGATGTTATTGAAGAAATGACAGACGAAGAACACATTTTATCTGACAAGATAGAGATGGTATCAAAAGTGAATTTACAACCCACAGGCCAAGAGGATTAGAAAAGGATGTTTCATTGGATCTTCCAAAGAAACTAGCTGAGGTTTCAAAATTTAAAAGGGAAATAAAAATGACCAGCCACCTTCATGCTGTCTAGATTCACTGGCTAATTTTTTCCTATTAGATTTATCAAAGAGTCTTGTTGAAGCCTTGAAGAATTCTGTGGGACAAAGAAAAAGTGAAGAGAAATCAAATTCTAAACAATATCTGAATGAACTAAAGCTTAGGATTGTTAGAACTAAAAGGATGGAATCTAAAGTTGTTTTTTTATCAAGATTAAAATATGTATTATTTCTACCAATCCTTTATGGACTTCCTGCTATTGTCAAAGAATTGTGGAGAATAAGGTCTAATGGGACTACAGGACCTGACATGCAAAAATCCAGACAACTACTAAACAATAAGGGACATGCAGATAGTCCTCAACTTACAACAGTTTGTTTAGTGACCGTTCAAAGTTACAATGGCACTGGAAAAAAGTGACTTATGACCATTTTCATATGTATGACTGTTGCAGCATCCCCACAGTTATATAATCAAAATTCAACCTCTTGGCAACTGGCGTGAATTTATGAGTTGCAATGTCCCAGAGTCACGTTATCACCTTTTATGATCTTCTGACAAGCAAAGTCAATGGGGAAGCCAGGTTCACTTTACAACTGTGGCAAGAAAGGTCATAAAATGGGGCAAAACTCCCTTAACAACTGTCTTGCTTAGCAACAGAAACTGTGGTTTTAACTACCCATGCAAACACCTGTGGATAGGCAAAGCCTTCTGGAATGCCCCAGGCTGAAGAAAATAACGTTTCCACTCATCTCAAACGAGGACACCAGACACCACTATGTTTTGCATGATCCGAAGCCAGCCATGGGGTAGTAGTGCATTCAAGAAGCCACGGTTAAGCAAACCGTACTTTAGCGGGCTGCGTGAACCAAAATTTTCCTTTACAATGGGCAACAGCTCCCAAGCTATCCGGAACGCGCCTTTTCACTTCTTGGAGCGCCCTGAGTTGCGTCCTGGCCTTCTAGCACCGCTACCTCTGGGGGTTACGGAACTGCCCCAGGGAGAGCTCCGGCCTGCCCGACGGGCCTTGCCATTCGAGGCAAAAGCTGCGCGGGCGACGGAGCCTTTGCCTTCCGCGGCTAAATTAAGAGGATTGGCTATGGAGGAAAGAGGGGGCGGAGTGCCGGGCGCGGAGTCCCCAGAGAAGCGGCCCAGCGAGCTTAGCGCGGACAGAGGTGAACTGGCTGCCTGGGCCGGGCCTCCATGAACTTGCTGGGGGAGCGGCGGCGAGGCTGGCCGGAGGAGCTCAGCGCCCCTCAACCCGAGCGCGTAAGTCCAACCCGCTCAACCCGTTTTTTAGGACTGCGCAAACCAGCGCCATTGCCCGGCCGGCCAGCCGGCCTGGAAAGAGGTAGCCTGAGCATGCGCTGTAGGGTCCGCCGACGCGACGACCCATTCTTTCAGCCGCTTTGCCCTCCCTTGACTGCGTCTTCGCTCTTTTTTTGCAAACCGCTGGAGAAACGGGTGGTGCTGAAAGCAAGCCGGCTGCACGTTTAAAGGTTGCTCTCCTAAATTTGGCCGAAGGGCCAGTAAACGAAGAGGGAAGAACTGCAGGGAAAGGAATATGATGGGAAGAAGGGTGGGGTGGGGGACGCTCGCTTCCGTCTTCATCCAGACTTTTCCCTTAGCTGCGGTGGGACTTCAGAAGGGGTGACAAGTGGTTCTTTGCAAGTTAACTTCTCCTCCTCCTTCCCACGGGCTCCTTTTTAAAGTCGTAAGGCATCACGCAATATCTTGAGTTGGTCTCATCGGAAGTAACGGAGTGTCTGGTTTGCAGATCTGACCAGCTGGAATATTTCAGCCTGTTTATTTTTTTCTTTTTGCCGACTTCCCCGCTGGTTCATAACGGCCCTGCTCCTTAGGAAAAAATTACCTGGATACCTCGTTCTTCGATTGCAAATGATCTCTGAAGAGGTTAAGGAGAAGGGGGGAATTGGGAAGAGCTTAAGCGGCACAGAGCCCAAAACCTGTTATGGTTGCTTTCTTGTCCCCCTTGTTCCCGACTTTTTCCTTTAGATTCGCAGGAGAGCAGCAGCTCTTGGGAGAGGCCAGACCTGCACACACACACCCAAAACTACCAGGATGTGGCAATGAGTTCCCTCAGAGGTCTTCTGATCCCCATTTTGAGCTTCAGACTGGAGCTTAGCTGGAGAATTTTGGTAGCCTAATGCAAACCAATAAATAATAATTAAAATAATACATGGAAGAGGATCAGATCAGCTTTGGGTTTCTTGTTGATTGAAAAGAAAGCAAATCATTTTGGGCTACTTACATTTCCCGATTCTAGCCAATGCTGGTCAACATTGTAACAATTTGGCATTTTGAGGGACGCTAGCAGATCCAGCTGCCCAAACCACAATAATCACTAGCCATGGGAATCAGAATTGCCCCCATAATGTTTCACAACCAGTAGGACAAGTGCAGACTTTAATTAAAACTCTTAATACAGTACAGCTTTCTCTATTCCACCTTCATGCTGTCTAGATTCACTGGAGTACAACTGGAATCCCTAACCAACTGATAGAAGTTATTAGGAATTGCAGCCTACCATATCTGAACAACACTACATAGGGAAAATTTTCCTAATCTTCCATATTTTCTCTGAAGAAAAAAGGAAGGAAGGAGAAAGAAAGAAAGAAAAAAAGAAAGAAAGAAAGAAAGAAAGAAAGAAGAAAGAAAGAGAAAGAAAGAAAGAAAGAAGAGAAAAAGAGAAAGAAAGAAATTGCTACTGAAAAAGGGAATTTCTTGGACTTTTATCATGAAAGCTAATAATAGCTGTTTGAAAATCAAAGATTGGTAAGAGTATGATCTAAGTTCTACTTCAAGCTTTTTCTTCTGACCCTTGTGAATTCCAAAGCAATTATTTTAAAACTCAGGTCTGGGCCATAAACTTCAGCCTCGTGGACCAGTTCTGGTATTTGTAAATCTAAAGTATCTCTGACAGATACTTTTAGTGCTTCTTCAAAATCTTCAAATGATTCTACATCACCTTCCCTTCCTGGAGTGTCCTCTCATCCATCAGGCTGTGCCACTCTTGCAAGAAAATAGCAGATTCTGACAAGGAAATTTCATGAGCTGTCACGGAAGTGAGAATGGAGAAAGATGTACCAGCTTGTATATACATAAATGTCAGAAACCATCACTCAGTTATAAATTTACACCGCAGATGCTACTGGCATAACTCTTTGCTGGTTCATAGTACTAGGATCAGGTAGAACGCTAAAAGGATGGGGAGAGGGAGGATAGATGTGTGCACTTAAAAATATTGCCTGGGGCTGGAAAGATATCCAGGTAGCTGGCATCTAAGATTTTTGTTTGTAATTTGAAACATTAAACTATGAAATCACCTTCCTCTCTTATTCTGAAAACTGGGTGGAAGAGAGATGTAATGGTATGTGGGAATAATCTTGGGAAACAGGAGGAAGAGCCACAGGCTAGGCAACCTTTTATAAGAGGCAGGTCAGTACAGGTAGTCCTCTACTTACAACAGCTCATTTAGTGACCGTTCAAAATTACAATGGGTTATGATCATTTTTCACATAAGTCACAAAGTGACTTATGGCCATTTTTCACACTTATTGCAGCATGCCCAGGGTCATCTGATCAATATTCTGATGCTTGGCAACTGATTCATATTTATGATGGTTGAAGTGTTCCAGGATCAGGTGATCCCTTTTGCGATCTTCTGACAAACAAAGCCAGTAGGAAAGCCGGATTCACTTAACAACAAGAACTGCAGTGATTTTGTTTAACAAATCTGGCAAAAATGGTCGTAAAATGGGGCATTTTAAATAAAAAATTACTTAGCAACAGAAATGTTGGGCTCAATTGTAGTCATAAATTGAGAATTACCTGCACACAGTTGGGAAGAACACATGAGAAGCATTTCAGAAGGGACTCCCTGGTTTTCTGTATACTAGAAAGAGAGAAAGGGAGAATTTAATAGAATAGGGCTGGAAGGGACCTTGGAGGTCTTCTACTTAGCCTCCTGCTCAAACAGGAGAACCTATACCATCTCAGACAAGTGACTGTCTAGCCTCTTTAAAAATCTCCAGTGATGGAGCGCCCACAATTTCTGGAGGCAAGCTGTTCCATTGGTTAATTGTCCTCACTGTTAGGAAGTTTCTCCTTAATTCCAGGTTGCTTCTCTCTTTGATCAGTTTCCAACTATTGTTTCTTATCCTGCCCTCTGGTGCTTTGGTGAATAACATGATCCCCTCTTCTTTGTGGCAGCCCCTCAAATACTGGAACACTGCTATCATGTCTCCCCCGTTTCTTCTTTTCTTCAGACTAGCCAAACCCAAGTCCTGCAGCTGTTCTTTGTATGTTTTAGTCTCCAGGTCTTTGATCACCTTAGTTGCTCTTCTCTGATTTTTTTCCAAACTCTCAACATCTTTTTTGTGATATGGTGACCAAAATTGGCTGCAGTATTCCAGGTGTGGTCTTACTAGGATTTTATAAAGTGGTATTAATACTTCACATGATCTTGATTTTATGCCTCTGTTTATACAATCCAGGATTGTGTTAGCTTTTTTTGGCTGCTGCTGCACACTGCTGGTTCATGGTTAAGTGATCGTCCACTAGGACAGGGCTTTTCAACCAGTGGTACGGGTACCACCTGTGGTACCTTGGCACCTGGCAGGTGGTACGCGACCATCCTAGAAAAGTGGTAGTGGGGGAGGGGAATGAGCTGAACCGGTGGCAGCACCGCACAAGCCTGAGTGAGAGATGGCTGGACCTGCAGGGCTGTCAGGGCTCAGCGGAAGCGCCAGGATCAGTGCTTCTTCGGGGCTGTCAGGGCTCAGAGGAAGCGCCAGGATCAGCGCCAGGATCCAGCTGGAGCTCGGCGCTGATCCTGGCGCTTCTGCTGAGCCCAGAAGAAGCGCCGATCAGCTGGAATGTTGCAGCCTCTCCAGGGTCTTGTGATTTGCATTCAGATGCTTGGCAACTGATTCATATTTATGACGGTCACAGTGTCCCAGGGTCATGTGAAGTGACCAAAACCTGCTGCAACCACCCAGCAGATGGGGGGGGGGGAATAAAAACCAAACACCCCACACCCCACCCCCGCTGCCAATCCTCAACAGAAATGCTCACAACAATGGAAACCTCGGACAGGAGGAAGAGCGCCGCCAGGTGGGCAGGCAGGTGTCTTGCTCGGCTGTGGCTTGGGGGTGCACTTTTTTCAGTGCCATTGTAACTTCGAACAGTCACTAAGCGAACTGTTGTAAGTCAAGGACCACCTGTACTTCATCACTTTTTTCCATTTTTTTGGGGGGGGGTCATCAAGTTTTTGACACCTTGCTAGGCAGACTGGTGGTACTCGGATGTTGCCATATCCTAAAAGTGGTATAATGGGTGAAAAGGTTGAAAAGCCCTGCACTAGGACTCCAAGGTCCCTCTCACAGTTACTGTTTTTAAGCCGGGTCTTGCCCAGTCTGTACTTGTACCTTTGATTTTTCCTACCTAAATGTAAAATTTTGTTTTTCTCCACATTGAAACTCATTTTGTTGGATAGGACCCATTGTTCAAGTTTGTCAGAATCTTTTTGGATCCTGAGTTTGTCTTCTGGGGTGTTGGCTATTCTTGCCAGTTTAGTGTCATCTGCAGATTTGATGAGTTTCCCTTCAATTCCCTCATCTAAGTCATTGATGAAGATATTGAAGAGTACTGGGCCTAAGACGGAACCTTGTGGTACCCCACTGCTTACTTCTCTTCATGTGGATGTTGTGCTCGTTGAGTATGGTTTGCCAGCCAGCTACAGATCCATCTGGTGGTGATGTTGTCTATTCCACCTTTTTTTAGCTTACCAAAAGGAGTAGGTTGTGATGTACTGTACTTTATCAAATGCCTTACTGAAGTCTAAGTATACTATGTCCACAGTATTTTGCTGGTCTATTAGTGTAGTCACTTTGTTGAAGAATGAAATAAGATTGGTTTGGCATGATCTGTTTTTAACAAACCCATGCTGGCTACTAGTTATAACTTTGTTTGCTTCTAGTTGTTTGCAGATTTGTTTTTTGATTATCTTTTCTAGGATCTTCCCAGTTATTGATGTTAAACTGATTGGTCTATAGTTTCCTGGGTCTGTTTTTTTCCCTTTCTTGAAGATGGGAACCACAACAGCCCTTTTCCAATCCTCAGGTACTTCCCCGGTGCTCCAGGATTTTTGAAAGATGTGGTGCAATGGTTCTGAGATAATAACTGCCAGCTCCTTCAGAACTCTGGGATGTAATCTGTCGGGTCCTGGTGATTTATATTCGTCAAGG